CCCGGCTGGGGCGGTGCTTGCCCCCGCGTTCCGGGATAAGAACCCGGGGGACCGGCCGCCCGCCCGGCCCGGTGTTCCCCGGGGGGCTCGCCCCCCGGGGCGCCCCCGGGGGGGGCACCCGGGGGGGGGGGGGGGCGGCGGGGGGGGGGGGGGGGGGGGGGGCGAGCGAGCTGGGGATACTTGGATAAACAAGCAGACACAGCCAGGGTGACATTGTTGGACTTGGTACACATAGCAAGAGGTTACCTCGCACGGAGACACACGCCCCGCGAGCGATAATAAGCGCTCCACGCGTACAAGTTCCAACCTGGACGCATGCGATGTATTTACGATTTGCAAACCAACGCCGATGTGTGTTTTGTGTGTTTTGATGTTTGTTGGTGTAAGGGCTGACGCAAGTAACTGCTCGAGTGCTCTTGATTGTTGGGATTTGGAGGACGACTACAATATCTGTATCTGGACTTGTGATGCGCATTGAAGTGTGGAACATGCAGTGCTACATGCACGGGAACGTCGCTAAACACCGCAAGCCCCTCCTGCTACCTATCTATCGGCTGCCCCGGCCTCACTCAAGCGTGTTCCCCCAGAACCGACGGCTACCGTATTGGGCATGTACTTCGTGTCCGCAATAGACTTACTGACCTGAGGGAAACGAAGCCGGTAGCCAGCGCGAAAGAGCACCTTGGCCCACTCCAGCCGCAACGCGGCGTCCTCGGCATCGCTCGGGTCATAGTGCCGGTTTGGCGGAATCCCGAGTGCTGGTGCAACGCACCTCAGCGACCCCACATCAATCTCCATCCCTGGCAGCTTGAGCAGCAGCCCGCATCAGCCTTTTGAACACAATTGTTCGCCTTGTGCTCCGTGTGAGCAGCAGCGGTCGAGGCCGTTTGCGTTATTGTGATGTGTTTATTTCGATTCAAACGCAGATGCTGCGAGCACTCTTGCTGTGCGGAAGTTTGATTACTTTCCTCTCCTGCCGATGCCACGCGTCCGTGTCTAAGGTGCAGCGGAGAGCTTACCACGAGAGGCTGATACAGTAGGCTTGAAGTTTGTAAGCCTCAAGGGGTGCAACGGGTGTGCAAGTTGTGTGTTGGTGTGCGGCGTGCAGTGCTGAGGTCTCAGGTCTCAGGGCGGTGGAAATACCAAAACCCGAAAAATGGTTTTCAGAAGGTTCGAAAGGCGTTTTGACCGAGGGGATGGGAGACTATCGCCCCGGGGTCTGGCATGCTGGCAGACCAAAAGCGATCATCGCGGGTCTCGTGTCTCGTGGATCGCGTGTCACCTCACTGTATCTATGAAGTGTTGCACCTAGAGAATAGGGCCAACATTCTTTGCGTCGAAACGTGCGGCGTCTATGTACCAGTGCGTAAAACTTGTTGCTGATGCTGCCACTGCGACTTTCTTTTTTGTTCGGCAAGTGGCGAAAAAATTGGCGGGGGTCGTCGATGGCGCAGGACATGACGGACTGCATAACCTCTGACCCTCTGACCCCGGCATCATTAGCCTACTACGTAGACTGCGTAACCTCTGACCCCGGTACATCTCGTTGGGCGACCTCTTCTTGCTCTAGAGGCTCAATACTGAAAAGATCGGCACAGCCTTATTTACTTGTGGCAGCAAAGATCTGCACAACAACGAAAGATCTATTGTGTCCACACACACACACAGACAGACAGGATGGATTTGGTAATCCCCCCAGGATTAAACACGCAGGAGAGAAGGAAGAGGAACTCTGCACCAAGTCCATTCTTATAGACGTAACAATCGTAAATCCATCTGCTAGGCGAAACATCGACAAGTCCATCCAAAAGCCAGGATCCGCCCTCGAAGATCGAGCTGCAAGTAAAGGCAAATCACTACAGTCTATGCGGGAACTTTCAACCCGTCTAGATCTACCCTCCTTACTTGCTGCATTTTCAACGTATGCTGGTCTTGGCAAAGGCACTAATCGACTCATCGCTGCTATCGCCAACCACTTGGCGCACGAAGCTTTTTGCCGGGGGATTCTTGACGACGAAAGAGCCTTAGTTCGCCTAAAAGCTTTTCATACTAACAGGATTCGAGGAGGGTCTACCTTCGAGGCACCTCGTTTTCTGTCGATGCGAACTCGCGATGTGTTCAAACGTCATGGGCTACTGATCGACCAACTTCCACAAGGGTCAATCGGTTGGGATCTCTGCGACAACGATAGTAATGAGGGTAATTCTTTTGGGAGTGACGGAGACGAAGGAAAGGGAAAGGGAAGAAAGGAGGATGAAGACGACGATGGAGGAGGAAAACATGGAGGAGTGGAAGAGAGCAAAGGGTTTGAGCCAGATGACCTTCCCCAAAACAAAAAACGTAGGGCTAGGGAATAACTGCCCAGAGATTCTTGTCAAAGTGATGATCAGAATGATGGTAGCGAAAACAAGGAGGATAACAATGGTGAAACTACTCCTAAACGAACTAGAGTACAAGGTAATAGCCTTGGTAGACGCGTCCAGTTTTCTTCTGTTGCTGCCGTTTCCGTCTTTGATCCGAAGGATAGTTTAACCTCCTCCATGCTTCCCCCTCACGGGGTCCCAGTTCATGGTAGATAGAAGTGTTTTGTGTTTTCAACCGCACCAAGACTGACGTATTTTCATTGGTCAACCGGTTAGCGCGGTCGATGCTAATAATAATAACACAGACAGGCGGTCAGCAGATAGTTGAACCGCTTGCCGTTCTTCCAGTGTGTTAGACGCCAACTACGGTGAACACCAATCCCCCACCTTGGGCGCATGCCCGGGGCACTCGGCAAGCAACTGGGAACCGAGTCTTCTCACTCTACTGATAGGACCCCATCATCGAACACATAGACTACTACATACCAGCTTACTTGTAGTGCTCGTCGGCAGCCCTGGCAGAAGTAGGTGGAGCATGGACTTATAGGTACACGCGGAGCGCTGGGCATTGCAGCAGCGTACGTACGTACCCACATCCACATCACCGATGGTTGTTATTTACAACATCGACTAGTTGAAGATAACGAATAGAGAAGGAGTTTGCCGGTGATCCATGTAATAGGCATCCACGTACACCCATCCACAACCCGGCTAGACAAATACAACAACAAAAAGGCGGGTGCAACAGTAGACTGGTTATTTCACTCGTTCGCATAAAGTGGCATCGAGAACCGAAAACGACAAAGAGCCAAACACTGAGTGGTGGGGGTACGCACATCATCTACCTCGCGAAACAAACAAGAAGCCAACGTGCAAATCAGTAAAGGCCCCTGTTTGCAGGCGGGCAGCTTGATGTCACAAGCGTAGAGAAGAAAGGTTGACTCAAGACCTCGGTAACATTAACGAGTGCGCTAGACACGCTAGCCCATGCACAGCAGAAGGGGGATTTGCTAAGATTTGCCCCTCTACGAACACATACCACCAATGATACACGAGATCTCCGAGATTTCCGTCGGTACTCGATATCATGATCTAAGAAACTCTTCAATTATCACCAGGTAAAACGGCGACAAAGTCAATGCCAAAAACACAACGCACGGTCGTTCATCATGCCATCCACCCAAACCTTACAATAACAACGTATTGTAGTTCTGTGACCTCCCCCAAACCTTACGACGTCAAACTCATTGATTGTTGTCCTTCGATTTACAGTCTCCTCAAGAAGGTCCGTCAAGGATGAATCAAATCCTTCCTCCAAAAACACAGAAATAAATGCAGTACGGTCAAGATGAAAACCTCAACGAGTACGGAAGCATCAAGGAAAAATTACGACTTGCCTGCGCGGATACCTCAACATGAACCGATATTCAGCAGCCCTCCTCCTTCCTCCAACAACAACACGAAAAACCAAATCAAGGCCTTCAAGGCAAGATGGTTATGGCACATGAAGAATCAACCCATGTAAAGCCAAAACACTGCTTGTTGTACTGCAGCGGGGATCGATCATGGTAAGACATCCCCCATGATGGTCGATGGCAGTGCAAACAGCAGTGGTTCTGCACAGCGTCCAAGAATTTTGCATACCAAATACTTTTGTAATGGTGTTTGACCCCTTCCTTCAGAATCAATCACCTTTCTTTATGCTGTGTGGAACTCTCTTGTCCGACCACAGGAGCAAGTTGTTGTTGCTTCCCGTTGTTCTCTTTCTCTTGATTAACGCTTTCCAAGCCAACTCACAAGATCTCAAGCACACACGAACATGGATCGTCTGCACGCACACTGAACAGAAGGGCACATGCCTCTCGGCATCAAGCCCTAATCTAGCATGACGTCACGTCTTAGCATCCGACGGCGCCAAAGAACCATGGTCAACCACGATCACCTGTCTACCTCCAAATACCATAACACTTCCAGCCCACAGATGCATAGCTGAAAGTAAAAAAAAAATGACGGAAACGGGCTGCCAGAAATAACAGAAAGGTATCAAAACACACCAAATAGAGTACGCAACGCGGTCGTCCTCCTATCGATACCATCAGCAATAGATGTTTCCTGGGAACCCCCCCCCCGCTCAACACAAAAGAAACAAATAAACAACAACGATAGCCTGTCACCCTGCAGCTTGAAATGGGAGTAGCTAACGCTAACAACGCAGAAAAACAATATCAGCGCAGACTCATGACGAAATCACGGTGGGCCCAAAAACTTCTTTGGGCGACTGCGATTTGGTCAGAAAATCAGAAAATCCGCTCGTTGAAAGTCTGATCACACATGCACTACCCAAAATTTCCCCCGCACTACACGCTCTTAGACAAAATGGTGCCGAATGTCGATGTGCTTCGAGTTCGGGGTAGTAGTAGCCGGGTTGCTCGCCATGTGAAAAGGCCCAACATTATCCTCGTGAACCAAATTACACCCCATGTCCCGGTCCGGAAAAAAAAAATCCACGCATACCGCAAAAAAATAGGCGTGCTAAAGTAGTAGTCCATGCACAGCAGAAGGGGGACTGCCCCTCTACCAACACATACCACCAATAATACACGAAACCCCCTAGATCTCCGAAGATCAATATCGAGTGCTGAGTGCCCCGAAACAGCCCCCCTACCCGAAAAAATCACAAAACATTCCGCAGAGGAAACATAATCTCCAACACGAAGAGGTCAAATCATCCCCTTTCGCCCAGGACGCGCCCTGGACGCACAATACCTACATAAGAAACCACGGAAAACGTTCGATGTCAGGGACGTCAGAATGCAGAAACCCCCATTTCCACCAAATGCACCTCAACCAAAAAACCCACGTGAAGAAAAATCTACTCCTTGACCGCCACGGCCATGCACCAGTCACTTCGGGGGCGTACTGTCGGGTGCCCCGTCTCTCCGGGCCTCTCAGCCTCACAGACGGTTTGACCTGCGAAAAGAGTGCCATCATACTCACGCCCCACGGTGGCGTCAATTATTTTCACGGGGCACGAAACCACGTCGATGCAGATCTCTTGGTCGGGAATCATGGGAAAGCCCCAGTCCTTCTCGACGATGTTCCGGTTCTCGTCTCTTGACATGAACTTTGTACGCTTTCCGAGGAAGTTGACGTCACTGCCGAAGCATGTGAAAGCGGAAACCCAGCCCGTGATGTAGCTCACCCCCGAGCCCTCGGGTTCATGTGTGAGAACCTGAAGAACGCAGGCAACATAAACGTATCCGTTCATGTATGCATACAAGAGATTCCGTGGGAACATTGCTACAGCGCCCAGGAAACACGTTGGCATGTTTCTCCAGATTGATCGGCTACTACCTGGTACGTTGAGACTTTGGTGTCTAGAAGATTGTGCATGAGGGCGTTTTGTAGGCTTTCCAAGGGGTGGCAGGTGTCCTTGGTATTTGAAATTCGAGTGGGTTCCGGGTGTTACTATTGCACCCGAAAAAGGACGGACCTGACCCAACAGAAGAACCTGACGGAAGCTAAAAACAAGGAATCACGTTCGGTGTACGTATTATTGTTGTGCGCGGCACGCACGTGCCGATCTCTGTTCGTACGTACCCTGTCCCAGAACTCGAGTGTTTCCGGGCTCCCAGGATGCTCCGCTGACTCCACGAACCCGTCGCACACCTTGCGCAAGTACCCCACCCATGTCTGCATGACCTTGCCCTGGGGATTGCCGTCCACCTCGAACTCGAGCAGGCGCTCGATCTTCTCCCGGAGCAGCTTCCAGTCTCCCACTGTGCCCATGAGGGTCACCGAGGGGATGCCACACCTGTACATCATGGTGTACTCGAAGTACGCCTGCAGGCTCGCCATCGCCGTCGCCGCAGCGCACACCTCGTCCTTCTCCGTCGTCGTCGAGAAGCCCGGCCGGAACCAGTCAGCGAATTCGGGCGACTTGATGTTCTGCCTGATTAGCCCCAACAAATCCCTGATCATACGCGGGTAGTCCGCGGTATGGAGCGTTCCATCACTTGACACTCTGAGCTCCTTCTTGCCCTCGTGTTCGACGATCCTGTCCCGTAGTCCCTCCGCGTTTTTGTTCACGTACGCGCAGGACTGGGCGAGGATAGTCAACCACACGTCATCAGGGCTGATCACCAAGTTGCAGTGAGTGTTGTAGGCGGTCATGACCGCGGAGATGAGGCCTTTTTCTGCGCGTGCCAGTTTACCCGTGGCGGTAGTGGTGTCGGACGACAGCGCGACGATCTCTCCTGGTAACTTCTTCTCCTCATCGGGGCCGCTGCTCAGAGAAAGAAAAGGGGGATTTGGTGGAGCGAAAGGAGGGCGGCCAGAGGGCGGTCAATGAGGAATCAAACACAGGAGGGGGGCTGTCGGCGTGGACCATTGCTGCTCGTCTTTGGTGCCTATTTCTCATCATATAGTTCACTCGCGTGTCAACCGTAGAGGGGAGCATAGAATTAATAGGTTGTAGGAGGCCACCTTGCACAACTGGGACGCTGAATTCCACCTTGGGCACCTGTCCTGCTTCTTCATCGTCCACGCGAAACAAACGTATCACTACATAATAATAGCTGCCACCGTTGAGCAGCTGAAATAAAAACAATCACCAACAAGGCACACCTGCGAAACCTTCCAGGTCGGTAAAACCCTTGCTTGCTTGCGAAGACTGCAGTGAAAGCGGAATGCTCCTCGAACGCAGCGCGCAAGGTGGAGCTACTGAAGACCCAATCGAAACCGCCTCGCTCGGAAGTCCGGGTGCTTGTTGGAAGTCGCCGGTGAGATCGTGATGTGAGTACCTTCACCCATGCCGGAAGCACTTTGAGCTGAGGCCGTCATCCTAGATGTTTCGGCCGATGCCTGGTTTCCTTGGTGTTTCTGAGCAACACGACGGTTGAGCTGTGTGTGAGGGCGGAAAACGAGCCACTTTGTGAAGAGACGAACGACACATGCTACGACAATCGAGGAGACCGCCGAAGCAGCGCTTTAAATAGGTGTTGCGGAGTTGCGGAAGCAAAATTTTGGCCCGCAACACGTTGGTAGACGATTTTTTTTTTGGGGGGGGGGTCAATTTCGCCGTAAAGGCGAAAAAAACTTTTTGGGGCCCTTTTTCTCGCCGTTATTAAATAACAACACTATTTTAGAAGTAATTTCCTTTCAAAACCAAGTAAACATATAAAAAAAAACGCCAGGGGGGCCATGCTCCGCAACACGCCTGCAGGCTCCCGCAACAGCCGCTTCGCGGCTATTTCAAGCGCTGCGCCGAAGCTTCTTGGGTTCTTGGAAACGTTCTTCGGGTTCTGGGGTTCTCGGAACCTCCAAATCGCGCCGGAGACCACCGCTTGTTCCGATGGTCGTCCCATGTCTGTTGTGTTTCTGGAGTGCACCCGAAATCGATATTGCCACCTTTGATGTCCACTCATGCGTGATCCCATCGATCGCAGACGCATGAGTGGCTTGGTTTCGGTTCGGGACGACGAGAACCGAAAGTTAGTCTTGCCGCAGCCGCCGAGCTCGCGGCTGCGCGAAGCTTCGGTAGCCGGCCGCTGGCCGAGAGGGAGAGAGAGAGGGAGATATAGAGAGGGAGAGATAGGCAAACAGACATTCAGATAGTAGGGGTGCGCTCCCAAATGAAAAAGGCTTCGCGGCGATTGTCTCCTGTAGAAAACGAAACGGAGAAAAAAAACTGACTGCACAGCAGTATAGTGACGCATCTTGCCCATTGGGCGCGGACCCTACCGAGAACCAGCATCAACACATATTTTGTCGTTGACCCAGTAGAGAACTACAGGGGATGCATTGTAAAATGTAAGTTACCTATACAGATGTTTTTGTACTTAGCACCAGCTGGCATCACTGGTATAAATCATCAGTGTATAGACTTAAAAAGACTCGAAATAAGTCCAGTACCTAGCCGGTTTGTTTCCCTCCACTCACTGAAAAGACTCCACCACATCCCGTTCGACTGTGGGTATATCTCGAATGGGTAGTCTTTCTGTGTGTGTTTTTATTATTCCTTAACACACAGCAGATACTTACGACAGCAGACCATGCCCCTTCGGCGCTCATGTGAAAAAAACAAGCGGTACATTAGGTCATTGATTCATATTCCAGAGCGAGCGCGTGAGATTTTGGACACGCCATCCGTAGCGAACAACGGCAAGAATGACCCTGACTGAAAAAACAAGGGCAGCCTCAGCGGGGACTTCAGGGGGACCTCCGGTGGAGACATGGCGCGAGCACGGGAACTGGAGGTGCGTTGATGGTGTTCATGCAGCAAGTTGACGGGCGGAAGCTTATCACAGAACTCATAAATTTCTACGGGCTATGGGCTTGGTCATAGTGCAGATCGCCATGTAACGGACATCTTGCGGGCGGGACTTTCGGAGAGGCTTACGTTATGAAGAGCTGCCAGACACACTTACGTAGCTCGATAGCATAGAGAACGTTGGTGGTTGCCAAACCCCCAACCCCGGCGATTGTGAAGGAAAGCGACCGCCGAAGCAACAAATTGCTAGAGGCAAAGAGCCAAATTTCCATTCTTCACATAAAAAAATGCGCCCAGGGCAAGGAGGTATGTATATAGACTTTTGTCACGTTACACGCGGTCCCTGCGCGATCCAGCCAGTATTATGGAAAGGTAGGCGCTTAGACTAACTTTTTCAGTTTTTTCTAAATTAGGCCAAGAGTAGAATGTGAAACACGAATCGGGGTACAAGTTGGCGAACGAGCCTTTTCGTCGCACCATGTACCGCATTTTCAATTTTCTTTTCTACCCAAGTTCCCCGCAAGAGCGCCGCGTCCAGAGTTCCCCTCGACACACGCACGTCCTCGACGAGATCCGGCTGAAGATCCGCAGTCAAGTTGAAAACAGCGAACTTATACGCATACTTACAAATAGCATACCGAAGAAAAAGTCCTCCCAATGTTGCATCACAGAGAGGTCCTATGTAGTCGGCCACAAAGAATACGTTACAAGAGGCAATCAAAAAGCACACAGTACACTGGGACCGCCACCACAAACCACTATCACCATCCATACCTCGGCAGCCGCGTCCTCGCTAACTCCCCAGTGAATCCGATATTCGATCTCTACCCGACTGTTGGTCGGGTACACCTGACGCCGGAATTCTTACCCCAGGGGAGGAAACGACACCACTAACACCAACATCCGCCGTGACTTCTCTCCCTTCCTCCTTCAAGCTACCCCCAACCGATGCCCTACTACTTTTGCCACCGCCGTCGCTCCCCGCACTATCCCGGCCTCTGGTATAGCTCCTCCTTCTTTTTTCTCTCACTTCCTCCCCACCACCTTTCCCTCTCCCCCGCGCACTGCCTAGCCCACCACCGCTACCATCTAACGCTGCTGCTCTAGCGGCGCTAGCCTCTGACACCCCGCCCCCGGCCCCACCGGCGGCAGACTTTCTGCCACTCCCTGGACGGGGCATGCCAGCGGTACCCATCACGATGCTGGCGAGCCTTTCTCCTCGAAATATGGACGGCTTGTTTCCCGCGCTTCCGCCCCCGCCCACACCGCTGGCGCGCCCCCCATCGCTACTACTGCCCAAGCTCATCTGCGCGATCTTGCGGATCTTTTTGGCATAGACCTTCGGCAGGCTGATCCACCGGAGCACCTCTGCCCAATCGGTGAGCTCGTCCCGAAGCTGCTCCATCGGCGGCGGGTAGAAGGTCAGCAGGTAGTCGAAGTCGGACTTGTGGAGGATGAGCATCTTGACGCGCATCGTTGCGCGCACCTCAACAAGCACTTGGAAGGACAGGCCGTCGGGCACCAAAAGCGTTGGGTGGCCCATGTATTGTCCCTCCCTATTTCGGCACATTTTTTTGGGGGGAGGTTGTTCGTGAACGTGTTGGCTGAATTTGTTTTAAGAAAACATTATCGAGAAGGTATATGCATGGTAGCAGATTCAGTCAGTACGCGTGGAACACGGGAGGCTGGGAACGGGGGGGGCGAGGCGGTTGCGAGGGAAACAGCGTACACTCACTCTTTACGATCACAACCCATCGCCCAGGGACTTTAATCATGAGTACTCATTTTTTCGTTTGTTTCTGCGTTGCGAAGCTTTCGAATGTTGTGCAATTTAACACGTCCCCCGTCTAGTCTAAATGTGTCACAGTTACCGGTGTCCCGGGGAACAACGATGATCATACATCTCCGAAAAACCTCGCGCTGTCTAAAATGTGGGGACGAGAATTCTGTGCAATACACATTGGTGGATTCCCTACGTCGTGCCGGGGAGGACTTCTGTCGCGTCAAAGCACTTTGTCGTGTCTCTAGGTTACCGAGGGTACATGGCGGCGTCGTTGTCTCAAACATGGCAGTATAATATGGACTCGAACGGGCTGTGGCCTGCACGACTTGGCGTCTGGAATCAACGACAACGAGGCACGCATTTTGACCAAAGCAACAACAGCCGGTATATCGCAGCATCTGGGATGAAGCACTGCAGAGGAAGCAGCGACAGCACAAAGAAACATTAAATACACACTCATGCTTACTACGAAACCATACAAGTCCAACACAACCAAGGCTAATCCAACCCAGCCCAGTATCCGCCTCACACGAGCGGACGTAGTAGCTATGTCTGGCCGCGACTGGCTGGCTGGCTGGCGTGCGGCCACCTACCGGTAGTTCTGGATGGTTTCCCCTGTATCGGCGGACGTTTCCTCGCAAACCCCGTGCAGGACGAAGCCCATCTCTTGCGCAGCCAAGCGACGAGAAACGATCAAGTCCCCCTTCACGTACTCCCCCGGTTTCAAGCGTGGCAGCTGCGCGATTATTGTGCGTTTGGTGTTGTGCGCGCGGTATTTTGTAAAGAATAAGTTGTGAAAACCGCCGGCGTCTATTGTTGTCTTCGGCTCACCGGGAAAGATGTAGGGATAGGACATGACGACAGGGGGAACAGGGGGTCAGACAGCCGTTGAAAGTTGATGGAGGAGGGCGAATCAGGAAGCCGAGCTTGTACAATAGATAGCTTTTTTTCTTTGGTATGACCTTCCTTGCGCGCGTACATGCTGAGACGATTCAAGCACACATCGCAACCTGCAAAGATCTGCAGCAAGAACCAACCCGCTACACGAGGTCTAACACCATTCAAATCTTATTAGAATGAACTCCAGCCCATCTATTCAAATTCCGACAACCGATTCCATCCGTCGCATGTGCTCTATCTCAAAAATTATGTTCCAGTGCAGCTTCTTCGGTCCATTCCACATCAAAACGGGAGTACATGTAGTTTTCAAAAGACGTCGACCCGGACCGGTATTTCATAGGAAATGTGCACGATTGTGCTGTAGTTGAAACTACAGGATAGCTTTTTATCCCCGAGCTTACGTCATTCCTTTGTCATCTCAACACAAACACGAAATCAGAGTTGGGTCTTGAGATAATCGTATCAATACAATCGTGTAGATTTGCGGACGAACCGCTCGAACAGTACGACCACTCCTACTGCCGTGTCGAAAACGTGGACAAAACATCGGGATACGTTGCCTTGGATCGTGTCAACCGTCTTGGCGAGGAAGCCCTGCTGTACCAGTTCCCTGCAAACCCGGCGCCGCATTGTGTTTGGTTGGCGTGCGAAACTGGGACAAGTACGCTGCTACCGCACGCTCACCATCATTGCCAAGAATCCAGGGTAGGACATCTCAATCTTGCACAGCAGGGGTAATCGTGGCACCGCAGTCCGGTAGGCGTAGAGCACCGCCGGTATTCTCAAATACGGCGGCAAAATCGACAGGATCTCATTCTCAGGAAAAACCTGGGTCGCGGTGGATGTATCGGCGGGGGGTAAGGTTGGGTTGGCTAGGGTTCTCCTGGGGGTTTGTGTCGTATGCGCAGATGCCCCGCGGTCGGGGGCTAGAGAATTGCCAACGGCAATGTGACCATAAACCCTCCTAAGTCTGAATCAAGTGCGCTGAAAATCCATCCCGATGACGCCTGTTTCGTATGTTCCAGATCAAGGGTTAGCCGAAAGAGAAATCAGGACATACGTAAGGGCGCCATTATCGAACAATTGGATGGTTCTGTGTAGTGTGTTATTTGGCACCATCTAGGCGAGACCGCCCAATGGCGGACACCTCCTAGTCCCCGATCTCGTCATCGGCAGCATCTCATGCAGACTTCTCTAAGAAAAAAGGAATAGGCTTACGTCAAGCTATAGAACGGGGCCTGTACGTTGCAACAAGCGGAAATTTCGGTGTTCTCGCGGCTGGTGTTTCAGGGTAACCTATACTCAAGTTTTGTCTTGTCAACATAAAGTATGAGCTCTTTGCTAGTCACGAGAAGATTGATGCTGCGATGAATGTCATATTCTTCAACGACAGATGACGGTGTGTTGCCATGGTCAGCAACAGACGAACGAGTGCAGGTGGTTCACAAAGTTTAGTATTTCTCGTCTCTGCTTCATGGTCAATTTTTCGAATTTTCCCTCCCAACCGGGGGAAAGGGGAGGCTACGCCTCCAGAACTTTGTGTCCGATCACCTCTGGCGTCCATCTACTTGATGATACAAAGGCGGTAAGACCAAGCGTTCCCTCACAAACTCACATACACACATACACCCATGACAACAGTCACAAAACAACATAGACAATCATCAGACAACGCGTGCCACGTACTCCTCACCGAGTTGAACTCAAGCTTGAAGTTGAAGTGCCGCTTCATCTCCGTCTTCTGCACCAGCGTCATGTTAAAATCGCGCATGTACTCCGACAGGTACTCCACCTAAAAAGTAGCATCCAACACCGTCGTGTACGTTAGAGGCCTCAAGAGTGACCCGGTAGGGGTGGAGAGGGCTCAAATGATTGCTACAGTAGAATGATGGTCGTTCGGGGAGGTGGGGAAGTCCGATGTGTCTAAGCTGATGTTGGTTCGAGGCAAAGGCGGCGGCGGGAGGGGAGAGTAGCATTCGGAAGCAAGGAAGTCGTGGTAAACCACGGGTGGCGATAAGAATGAACGAGATACAACGTGCGGGGGCAAGCACGGCGGGAGCTCGTTGCCTGTTGGCCAACAGCACACACTCACAACGAGGGAAGAAAATCGTATCAAGAGTGGCGAGGTTCGGTTCGAGCTTACTCCGCCAGAGCACCGCGTATCCCCTGCCTTACTACCGTTTTCTCCTGTACGATGCGCCAGCCACACCGCAAACACGTACACCTGCTAGTTATGCTGCTTGCAGGAACGGACTACCATGGCGTGAGCTGTGGCGTACAACACCAGAATTGTTTTCCAACACTATGGTGCTGATATCGCCAGTCCCTTCTTCTACAAGCGCGAAATTGGCGTGAAACAAGTACACCACGCTTACTGCAAGCACAAGAGTCGACGACATTTTGTACATGGTACACACGAATCAATCTTACCTTTTGCTTTCGGAGACGAGTCTGCGGGTCTAAGTTTAGCACGATAGTCACCAGGGCTCCGATCACGTAGGCGAACAGGGTCGTGCCTGCGACCTCGCTCACCAAGGCTGTCAACATCTCCGCAACGTTGTTCGCTGAGCAAGGAGACCAGACAAAGACCACGAAGAAAAGGTGAAACGGATATGAAAGAACCATGGCACAACACCGTCCCTTTAACAATTGTTGCATGGGAGCCTACTACCAGAGTACGGTAACAAAGTGGAAGTGACAAAGATGCGAAACACGACGACGCTATTTGGTGGCCAAAACGTGTATGGTCAGCGTACAGCCCATGCCTTTTGTGGCGACTGTGCTCCCAAGGTGACGACTCCATGTTAGAGAAGACATAGGCAGGAGACACCAACCAAGACTTAGAGAACAGATTTAACAACAGTCAATCGTGCGCACAAACGATGTGTGCGACGAATAGAAACATTATACTGGTTGCTCTACGTGGCCGTTCTTGTAGTTCGGTGACAGAGGAAAGAAAGGCACAAAGCCAACGCTGCGGCAAATAGGTGTTTGAAAATTTTGTCCCAATACTGCCGCTTTTCCCTATTTCCAGAGGAGCCATCTTCAATCCTGGTGTACTGCAGTGTTGCGGCATTTATTTGCGTACACATGTAAACTCATGTATGCTCAGATTACTC